GCGGTGGCCGCGGGCCCACATGGCGGACGCCTCGGACGAGGGGCACGGCACTTTGGCTTGCGACTGCGACCCCGGGGGCGCGAGAACGGAGGCCGCGACGGGCAGCGAGGGCCTGCGGGGGCCGCAGGTGGAGGAGACCCACGCCGACCTGGAGAGGGAGGTCGACGCCGCTGGCGACGAGGAGGACCTGCCTGCCCGACCCCGCGCCGGTCGCCTTGGGGCGCTGGAGGTCTTCTCAGGATCTTCGAGGGCGCTGGGCGCCATCCGAGACCTCACCAACTTTGGGGGGCGAGCCGCGGGGCATCTCCGATGGGGGCCGAGCGCGACGTCCTGGTGAGCGAGACCCTCGAGCTCCTTCTTCGGAGGCTCCGGCAAGGGTGGTATTGGTGGGTGCATATCGCGCCTGCCTGCGCAACTTCCTCCAAGGCGCGTGCGCCACCGTCGAGGTCGTCGAAGTCCATCTGGGGCTTGCCCGACTTGGGCGAGAACAGCCTGGCCGAGCTCGACGGGGGGGACCTGCCATGCCTGGTGGCGGTAGAGGTGGTTCGCATCTGCGTGACCCTTGCGATCCCTTTCACGATGGAGAATCTGGCCGGGAGCTAGTTCTCCTCTTTTGCTGGAGGTCCGCGGCAAGACGGACGTTTGGTGGAGCTTGACTACTGCATGTGTGGCGAGGTCTGGAAGAAGCCCACAGCGTTCGCCACCAGCTCCATGGAGATGGCTGTCCTGGCGAGGAGGTGCCCGGGTTCTTTCTGGCGCTGCAGTCGCACATCGAGGCCGCGCCAGGAGCTGAGGGGCAAGGCGCCGCGCGGGCGCAGGTGGACCCGGAAGGCTTGCGCCTGCACGCTGGAGTTGCGTCGGGCTTGCGTCGAGGTGGTCTCCCAGCTGGGGCCCCCGCGGCCGTCGGCGCCGTCGGGGGCGCGCGCGAGGCTGAGAGGTGGAAGGGCACAGATCTCGAAGGCCGCGGGCCCCACGATCCCCCTGGGCAAGAAGTGGCTGGAGAGGCGCTGGCACCTGCTGTTCTGCGGGAAGTGGTCCAAGAAGGAGCGCGACAACATCCTGGAGCTGCGCGCCGCGGTGGCCGCGCAGCGCCGCCTGAGCAGGACGCCCCAGGCCCGGGGGTGCAGGACTTTGATCTCCACGGACTCGCGGGCGCCCCTGGGCGCGCTGCACAAGGGGGGGCCCTCGGCCAAGGACATCCTGCACCTCTGCCGCATCGGGGCGATCATGCAGATGGGCTGCAGGATCAGAGGCCACTGCCGACGGGTGCCTTCGGAGCTCAACCTGGCGGACGGGCCGTCCAGAGGGTTGCCCATCGGCGCGGCGGACGAGACGGCGAAGCTGAATGTGGCTCGAGGCGTGCCGCAGCATATCTGGCGACTCGTTCAGCAGCGACGCGGACGGGAACAAGACTCAGCTGGCTCAGCACACTTGTAGCTACGGGGGCGCTGCTCGCGCGAGGTGGAGCTGCGGGCACATCGACTACTTCAGGCGAGGTCGTTGACAAGAAGACCTCGGCCCCACCGCCGCTGGCAAAGAAGGGGGCTCTTGCTTGGGAGGAGGCGCAGCGTGACAAGCTGCTCTATACGAACCGCCTGGTCATTCACGCCGTGGACTACAAGACCAACCTAACGTACCACCAGGCGGTGCGGGAGTTTCTGGTGGACGCGAGGAGGAACCAGATCGACTTCACCACCTTCGAGGCGCGCGACCAGGTGCTCGCAGACTACCCGTCGAACATGGGCCACGTGCGGCAGCTGGGGCTCGGCCGCGCCAATATGCTGCTCAACGGGTTCATGCGTGCCTTTCAGGACCGTCGTGACAGGCTGGCTGCCCGCGGCGGCGAGGGCGCTGAAGTCCTGGCAGCGACTCCCTGTGCCCATGGGGGCGGTCGCGCGAGCTGTTCCGTACCGGGCTCCTGGTCGAGGGCTCAGCGGTCTTGACGCAACTAGATGGTTGGCTCAGGAAGCAGGACAGGGCCAGCTCAGGGAGGAGGATGTTGCAGAAGGGCCTGGAGGTCAGCTCGCCTTCACCCTGGGCCGGCGCGAGAGAGGAGAGAAGGTCGAGACGGGCTCGAACCAGGGTGCGGTGATATCGTGGCCGGTGACAGCGGCCGTGATCCGAGGCTTGCTGCGGGGCTGCGAGCAGAAGGACCTGGTCTTTCCCGTCTCGCAGGGCAAGTTCCGCCGCGCGTGGCGCAAGGCGCTGGAGGCGGCGGGGCTGCCCGGCATGGGCCCCCCACGTGCTATTCGGCATTCAGGGGCGGCCTCCTTCGTGGTAGGTGGAGGCTGCCTGGGGGCAGCCCGACGCAAAGGCAGGTGGCAGACGACAGCGGCTCTGCAGGGGTGCACGAAGACCCACGCGCTGGTCGCCCAGCTCGCCAGGACGTCGGACGCCCAGGCGCGCGAGGGCGTCGGCTTCTGGGCGGCGTCGGCCGAGCGCCTGTCGGCGTGCATCAGGGAGTCGCCCGCGGCAAAGTCACCGCTGGCTAAGGCGCTGCTGGCGGAGCTTGCACGGGCGCGCGGCTTCGAGGGCGAGCTCCCGAATTTCGATGGTTGCAGGGTGCTCACGACGGGTCGCGCCCCCACTGCAGGCCGTGCCCGATCCAGGCGCGCGAAGAGCGCCGCAGCGCGAGCCCATGTGACCTGTTTTTCTTTTTCAATATTGAGCCACAGGCGGGGAGCGTGAGTAATTGCGACGCGGGGGCTGTTAACGATTCTCGTAGCCTGTCCCCGCCAGTGCTCGCATTCTGCGGCCTGACAGATCTGTTGATATAAACCAGTTGGGACTAGATGAGGTTGCAGCGCTTCCGCGCCCCCGCCTGCTTCCCTCAGCGAACAACGATGAACAGCATTAAAGAAGACTCCTGGGGCTTGCAAGACGGGGGCTGTAGCACAACATAGGACTCGACTGGAATCATAACCCGTTCTCTCCCTCCCTAATTCTTCGAATGGTTGGTGCTTAGGCATGCGTGCCAGTCTCGGTAGATTGGGGCTGGTGGTTTCGAGCGCGTCTGAATTGACAAGGCTTTCCCCGGGCCCCTGGAGCCAGGTCAGGTACCGTCCTACCTGCCGAGTTGGTCACGCACGCTGAACCCTTCGTTGGGTGCCTCCCTGTCTAGGCCTTGCGCGGCACTCGGCTTCCGCTCCAGCTGTTGCGTCGAATATTCACGAATAGCTTTAGGGTTTTCGCCCCAGTTCTGCCTGCCCCCCTTTTTTTTTAAAGGGCCCCCCTTCAGTACAGTTCAAAGATGGCTGATTGTAGATGCGTCGATGTAAATACGCGTTTTTTTGTAACACACCGTTACAGTAGCATCGCATATGTTTTAGCAGCCGAATCGTGTCATTCGAATTGTCCTTGCACGGCTGCAGTTTCGGCCCCGCCTCGCCCGCCCCGGGGCTAGAACCTCAGGCGATTTCGAGCACGTCTGAATTGATAATGCCTTCCTCGGGCCCCTGGAGCCAGGTCAGGTACCGTCCTAGGGCTCGTGGCCTGCCGAGTTGGTCACGCACGCTGAACCCTTCGGGGGGGGGCCTCCCTCTCTAGGCCTTGCGCGGCTCTCGGCTTCCGCTCCAGCTGCTGCGTCGGATATTCACGAATATATTTAGGGTTGTCGCTCCAGCTCCGCCTGTCCCCCCGCAGTGAAGTTCAAGGCTGGCTTTTTGTAGATGCGCCAATGTAAACTTGAGTTCCCGCCCACCAGAGCCTGTACCCCCCGAACTTCCAGGCCTCCTCGGGTTCCACCAAACCTCCCGTGGGGACATCGGGTGGGCCTTCTTCAGGGGCCTGCGCAGCAGGAGACACACCTGGACCGCCAGCAGGAGGCTGGCACGCATCGGGGATGGGGAACCCGGGGATCACATCCAGGGGAAACGTGGTGAGCCACGCCAGGCCGTCATGATCTACAAGCTGGCTAGTGCTGATCAGCACCTGCTGGGAGGTAGCAAACCTAGCAGCCTCACGGGCGAGAAAAGCACATCCTTCGATCACCAACACTTGAGCTTGCGGCGCACGGAAGGTCTCAGCACCTGAATTGGCCAGGCGGTCGGCGTGAGCGTTGTGTTTTCAGCTGCTGGTGGATTATGAGCCCCTCCTGGGCGGCCTTCTGGTTCTGGCGGGGGTCCACCTTCACAAACCGCACATTTTCTGGCGCCTCAGAAACCTCCGACCACCAGTGGCACCTAGTCTGGTTCTCGTTGGCCTGAGCTGGAAGACGACTGGCCACAGACACCGTAGCTTTGCAATCAACGTGAACCTCAACTCTTGCCTCGAGCACCGCGTGGACCCAAGCTGCCGAACAGCAAAGTCCCCCCCATCCTTGGAGGTCTGATCTGGGGCCTCGGCGAGCGGGGCTACTCAGTGAAGCACATGCGAAAAGTCCCCATTGGTTTTGACGACGCAGACCGACCACCCCGCGACTGTGAGCTTTGGGAAGCTGGTCTCGTAACCGCATCATATGTGAAAGCTGCCTACTCTTTCTTAACAGTCCGAATACCAGGGGGAGGAGGAGGAGGAGGAGGAGGAGGAGGAGCAGGAGGAGCAGGAGGAGGCGGGGGCGGGTCCGCAGCCATTTTGGCTCAAGGCTAAACGTTGTGAAGGGCTATAGACGCCCGAGAACCAGCGATTAGCTTTGCGGCCCGTCCGTAGGCCTCTCTCGAGACCATTTCGGCCTTCAGGAGGCCACTGTTCTCGCGACCTCTCGGACCTGCCTTCGTTTGGGCGCCGTCTACCAGCGTGGACAGGCGACGATGGCGCGTTCCAATCGGTCTAACCTCGAGGCGTTGGCGGCTTGCGAATTTGTCTCCACCTTCCCGTCGCAGGGGCGCCGCGGAGCTGTGGCGCGCGGTCCCGAGGATGGATTGGGTGGCTCTGGCACTCCTGTTCGTCGGCGTGACCCTCCTCTTGCTGATGAGCGCAGCCGCTCCCCGCACGATGAAGACAAGCGAGCACCTCATGGCGACGACCTACGCAACTACGTGGACCACACCCGCGACTCGATCATGGACTCCCTGGGCAAGCTTCAAGCATCCATGGATGACATCGCCAAGCAGGTCCACAAGTCCTGTACAGACCTCAGCAAGCAAGTCGAACGGCGCCTCGCCGACGTCGAACGACATCAGCAGCAGACCGACTCCACTGTCCAGAAGCTGTCCGACAAGATTGAGCGGCTCGAGCAGATCTTGGGCCTCATGCGATCTGAATATCCCCCTGTCCGCGTGGAAGACTCCAGCTTTGACAGGGATCCTGATCCAACGGTGCTGGTACTCCGGGCCAAGGCTATGCTGCCAAAAGCCAACGTCGACAAAGATGCGGTGCAGCCGATCCTCGAGAGGAACAATCTCAGCCCGACTGACGTCAAGCTGGAGGGTGATCCAGCTGGCCGCCGCCTCCTCCTCAGGCTCAATGGCAACGCTCAGCTGGCCGCCAGGCGTGTTAGGCAAATCACTGGCAGCTTCAAAATATCGGCGTCTCAATGGCAACGGTTCCCCACGGCCGACACCGCGGGCGCGGCGACTGAGGCGTTCATTTCCTCGGACCCAGAAGCAGGTACAAACGGAACTTCTCACGAAGAAGCTCAAGGCGGCGCTCTCCGAGCTCTACCCAGCCCACAACTTCCATGGCAACCGAGATCGTGGCGAAATCTCCACGCAGTGGAAGCCGCTGGTTCGCGCCACTCCTCAGCCTAGTCAGGGCTCCGAGCCGACCCTCGAGCTCGCCCGCGCGAGCCTGGTCCAGTTCGGCTTCTGCGCCGACCAGATCCGCGCCAAGTTCAAGCTGTTGGCCCCGCCTGCATAACCCGTACAGCGGCGTGTTTAACCCGATTATTGCCGCTTGGTGCGGTCGTTCTTCCTCTCATACTCCGATCTCCGTGGGGACGTGGAATGGTCAAGCTTTATCCCATCATAAATACCGAGTTCGGGCTAGGAAGATCAACTACATGGAGAGACTTGTGGGCAAAGGTTGGCTTCTCGGGATCCAGAAATCTCACGGCACCCTTGACGAGCTCAGGGGCCTGCTCTACCACATCCACCTCCCTACTCAGGCCTTCTACTCGTTTCTGCCAGCCTCGCCGCACGCTGCGGGAGGGGTGATCGCATTCGTTCCCGATTTTGATATCACGCATGCTGCAGACGACAGGCCTTTTATCTCGGAACATGTTTTGACCCAGGGGCGTGCTTTGAATGTTCGAATGTTGTTTCCGAGCGGGGTTCTCATCGCACTTCAACATTCATAACCGCGGACTGTCGTCTTAGCAGCGCACCGAGATCCTAGATGCTATCGCCTCCGACCTCACCCTGGCCTCCGCGGACCCCCTCAAAATCTTCATCATCGTTGGCGGGGACTTCAACTTCTCAGAGGACTCATCCGTGGCGCTCGATAGCTTCGAAAACTTACATCCCCATGGCCTCTCGGTTCCTTTGGAGCCATTTGCGAGCCCTTCGCAAAGTGGATCTGGGAGCGGACGTTTGGGTTCTGATGGCCTGGTTTGGAATCGTATCTTGGGGCATATTACGGAGATTCAGCTTCAGGAACCTACTCATCACTGCGCCGCGCAGGGGACCCTGCGGAAATTGGATAGGATTTATGTGTCTGCGCCAGGGTGGAGCCTTACCCAGTGGTGCACTGGCGGCAGGGCGCACGGCTACCCAGAGGTGCTCAGCCGCACACGCATATCTGATCATGTTGTTGTCTCCGCCACCTTTTCCGCTCGATCGTCGAAACCGCCAGGAGAGCAACCCATCCACCAGGACATTTTTCGGCGACATGAGTATCAGAAATTCATCCAGGACGTTCTCGGCCAGGTCGACGACTCCGAGTTGTCTCCCCCTCTCCGCCTCGCCTTCCACAAGGAAATCATGATCGAAGCGGCTCGGCACACTCGCGATCGGCTTCTCCGATTTCGACATCACGACCCCCTCTCGAGATACATCGCCATTCGCACCATCGCTCGAGCTGTATGGGCGCAGAACGTGCTGCTGGCCCAGAAGAATATGGCGTCCCACCCGTTAGGCGCGCAGTTTCTGGCCGTCGATCCGCTGACCGCGCAGGTCTCGATCAATGACCCTGCCAACTTCGCGGTGCTGGCCGCTGAGATACACGCCGCTATGTTCTCTAGTGCCCAGTCGGAGACAAGGCAGAGACTCCAACAGGATAACCCTGAGGCCATTCGGACCAAGCTCAAGAAGCGCCTCCGCAGCCTCATTACCCGTTCACGTTTGTGGGCCCCGTTTGGACGGAAACTGCCCTTGCGCGGGATCCGAGACCCCTGTCCTCCTCCTGATCAAGAATGCGTTGGCCCCCACAATAGAGTTCGTGCAGATCCTGCTGGGATGCTCTCTCGCCTCTCCGACTATTGGGGCCAGGTTTTCTCCGAGAAAGATGTAGACCGTGCCGCCGCCTTCCAGTGCACCAATCGGTTTAAGCCAGCAGTTGACCTCTCAGGTTTGCCACCTCCAACCGAACGTGACATTGCCCGTTTCCTGGAAAACGTGACCCCGAGCGCTCCTGGGCCGGATCAACTTCCGTACTTTGCCTGGCGCTTCCACCCCAAATGATCCCAGGTTTTGTATGACGCGCTCTCCTGGGCTTTGGATGGCAAGCCTCTTCTCTGTGGCTTCACTACGATGCTGGGAGCGTTCTTGGCCAAGGGCGACGAGCCTGGCAACGAGGATTCAGTGATCCGAGATGCTGCGGCCACCCGGCCACTCGGCTTGAAAAACACGGATTGTAAGATCCCGACGGCGGTCTGCGTGAAACCTCTGAGCCGTTCCCTGCCCGACTTCATTGCTAAGGCCCAGAGGGGCTTCGTCCCCGCGCGGAATTTCGGGATGAACATCATCGAACTGGATACGCAAGCTCGGATCACCTCGATGCTGCCAGACGCGAATGACAGATTACCCGCTCTGGTCTCGTTCGACTACGGACAAGCGTTCCCCTCGATCGCCCAGTTTTGGATCTTCCTCACCCTCAAATCGCTCAACACCCCCGCCCCGCTTCGCCTCTTCTTGGAAATGATCTACCAGTTCGTGCTCTGCTACGGGAGGATCGGGAGCGAATGCCGTTACATGTGCACAATATTGTCGGGCATAGTACAAGGGTGCCCAGCCGGCGGATGTCTCTATGCGATTGCGAGCCACCCGTTCGTCGAGCACTTCGATTCGCTGATCGAAAAAACGATGACTCGGAATGAGTAGACTATGCGCCGACGATGTAGGAAGTGTAATTCATCAAATTAAAGTTTCGAGGCAACTATACACGGTCTTTCGGGCGTCAAGGCGGGTGGCTAACTTAGAGCTAAAGCACAAGAAATGTAAGATAGTTCCGCTAGCTGGCCCCTTTTCCGAGCCCTTAGCCCGTCGGTACCGCGACTGGTTCCAGGTGAATCTGCCCGATTGGGCGGAGTTCCAGGTGGTCCCGCGGCTCATGTACCTTGGGATTTTCATGGGCCCCTCGGCGGCCCCGTCTCCGCGGGACGCTCCTGTGGAGGAATGGGCTCAACGTAGTGCGGCCATAGCATATAACTGCGCCCCCTCGGCCGTTACCGCGTTTCAACGCTCGTCTCCCGCTCTCAGCTGTTTGGAGTATGTTGCGCAGTTCGCCCCGCTTCCCCATTCAGTGCTTGCCTTGGAATGAAGGTAATATGCACAGGTTCTGGTATGTGGAGCAGTTTCAAAGTAGTGAAAAAATAGGTTGCGAAAGTAGAATGTTATCACATCTTCATCATATATACATATACCATAGGAGTAGGCCCGCCGCAGGCGCCGAATCTACCGCCAGACAACCAATTTCGATCGCAAGCCCGCCGCAGGCGCCGATTTGGATTGAAACCTGAACCAACATGAGGATGGCGAGCCCGCCGCAGACGCCGATTTTATCGCCAGAGCGCGAATTCTTGTCGCAAGCCCACCGCAGGCGCGGATTTTTCATCGAAGCGATAAAAAAACATGAGGGCGGCAAGCCCGCCGCAGGCGCCGATTTTATCGTCAGAGCGCGAATTCTTGTCGCAAGCCCACCGCAGGCGCCCATTTTTCAGTGAAGCCTTAAATGGAATGAAGATCGCGAGCCCGCTGCAGGCGCCGATTTTTTCAAGAACCGCGGGGGGGTCGCAAGCCCGCCGCCAGCGCCGATTTTTTCTTGCACCGAAAGGGCCCTTCCCCTCCCACGACGCCGCGGAGGCCCCCCCATTGGCGGGCCTGCCGCCCCCCCCTTGGCCGGAAGAACAAAGAAATAACGGAGCGACTTGCCGACCCCAGAGCAACCAACACGCGCGCGACTTGAAACGAATTCGCGCGGGCGGAACCCCCTCCTCACTCCTGTGTTGGCCTCTCGGGGCCTTCTTCGGAGGACTCTTGAGAGCTCTTGCGGCTTCTTTGGGGCCTCTTGCGGGCCCTCTTGGGGACCCTTGTTGCCTCTCGGGGCCTCTTTGGGTGGGTGGGCGGGGGCGGGGGAGGGATTTTCGCATCCGGAGGGATCGCAAAATTGCTTCCCACAAATCATGCGGAAAGTCGCGGGGAGCCCCAGAAGATTTTTGAGTTTGGGCTCCAGGTCCTTCAAAGAATTTTGAAGACAGAGGACTGAGGCTCAAGAGTGAGGTAGATGACGTCGGAACACGCCCGCTCCGTGCCTCAGCGCGTTGTGGCGCTGTGGGTCTTGGAAGATCTCTGGCTATCTGGAGCCGCATCGCGGGCCGTCTTGAGCCCTGCCGCATGCGGGGGCAATTTTTGAGCCATCGCGGGCGCTTTGATGGACCTGCTACAAGGGGGCCCGGGACAAGGGTCGCGCCCATCCCCGACGAGGAATTCGTTTGAGAAAGCAGGGATCGCCGACAGGGCCGACGGGATGCACTGTTGGGCCCCGCAACAAGAGTCAGACGCCGCCACGTTTGCGACCCGCGCGGCCGCGCGCTTCGTTTGGCGTTGCGCCCCCGCCCGCCCCCTCGCCCTGGACGGCCCGCCTCTCTACCCAATGGTGTTTGCGGCAGGGGGGTGGGGCAGGGCTCTTCGGGGTGGGGCGGCAGCGATCCGCCGCAGGATTCCCGGCGGCGTCGCGCTGTTTCACCTTGCTCCGGCCGGCGGCCCCGGGGAACACATCATTCCGCTTCTTTTTTAAAACTGGTTTTTCAACATTTTCAATCGCTTCGGCTGACTTATTTTCACATTTTTTTGTGTGTAATTTTTATGAAAAGAAAATAGGTGCGCCCAGCGAAACCTATTTTTTGCATATTTCCGTTATGTTTTATAAAATAGCGGAAAAAATAGCGAACAAATAGCGGAAAAAAGGCGCGCGGAATTGCACGTTTCGGCCGCCGAAAAAAACATTGCGAGAAAGTGTGTAAAAAATTGGCGCCGCAAAAGTCCCCGGGGATGCACCTTTTTTCCCGCTATTTTTTCGCTATGTTTTCGCTATTTTTCTGCCCGCCCCTCCTCCTCCTCCTCCTCCCCCCCCCCTCCCCTCCGCCCTCCTCCCGCCCCCCCCTCCCCCCCCCCCCCCTCCTCCTCCCCCTCCTTTCCTCCCACCCCCCCCTCCTCGCCCCCCCCCCCCCCCCCCTCCCCCCCACCCCTCCTTCTTCCCCCCCTTCGGCCGCGCCGCCCAATAGGGGGGCCTCCGCGGCCTCGTGGGAGGGGGGCAGGTTTTTTCTGTGCAAGACAAAAACCGGCGCCTGCGGCGCTTGCGATTTCCTCATGGTTCTTGAAATAATCGGCGTCGATCGTCATTTCATTCACGTTTTTAATGACAAATCGGCGCTTGCGGTGGGCTTGCGCCATGAATTCGTTTTCTAGAATTTACTTTCTGGT